GAGGAGGTAGAGAGAGAGCCTCTCGGTCGACCTTGGTTGTTAACAGGTGTGAATCAGAAAGTTATAGGAGAGTAGAAAGTTCCCATGGGAACCTTTTGCCTCTCAGACAAAACAACTGTTTTACATGCTCAAAGCTGTTGCTGTGAACTCTCAGCTTTTAGTGAAACTTCTCACACCAACCTCTGTTAGGCATAAGTAGAAAATCACACTTTTATAGTGAATTGAAAAGAAAAACATAATCACCTTATACTCAAATAATGGTTGATTAACATACACAAAATAAACATTAAAATGATATCTTTTGTGACTTTCTTTCTTTCTCTGATTATAGTGAGAAGAACATAAGTTGTCATTCAGTTAAGCATATAACTTTAACTTTAAAATGATAACTTTAATTAAGAAATAACTTTCGCTTAAGTAAAATATGTAAAGTCAAAACATATAAAGAACATTACTATTTTGTTTATTATCTTGATTATAGAGAATAAAATGAAATAAAATGTCCCTTAATTGTTTAAGAAAAACATGTTATGACCATAAAAATTGAACAGAGTTCTGTTCTTTAAAGGAGGCCTTCCGTGGTCAAGTTCAAAGGCAGGTGGAACGCTTATTCCACCCAGGGTGACCACTACAACATGTTTACAACCAATCACAGTTCGCCAACTGTGAACCATCTAACCAATGACAGGGCTGTCTGCCCAGAAACACCTTATCAAAATAAAAGAGTTCATGCATTGCTGGAGTCTTTAAGTCTGGGCCGATAGATTAAAACAGCCGAAACTACTGTAGTTATCATGAGATATGATTACTGGACAGTGTCAAGGCAATAATTATTCCATAACAAATGCAAATACAATAAAAATCAATCCAACATTTATAATAATTATCATTTTGATCCATACATTGGTAATGTCTGACTGGGCCTCGTGACACTTTATGTTCAATAAATTGGGCCCTGAGGTCTAAAAGGTTAAGAACCCCTGGTTTAATCCATTTTATCGAACTCTAGTTTGTTTGCCTTAGAAAGTCTAAATGTCTGAAAATGATCTTGCTTTAAAATTCTGTCATGAAAGGCATCATCCATTATTTCAATGAATGATAGACCTTTAAATGACTCTGCTAATTACAGACTTTCAAATATGTTTTTAGTTCTTTTTCACCTAAAAGGAAATTCATCTTGAGAACTTAACCAGTGTTCAATTCTGGAATAAGTTTCTGCGCTACTTGTATAGTAATAAAACACTATTTTTTTGTCTCCGTGATACAGCAAATACCCAGTGATCCATTCGGATGAGGAGCGGGACCAGTACCGAGCTGTGTTCAATGACCAGTACGCAGAATATAAAGAACTCCACTCAGAAGTGCAGGCCACCCTAAAAAAGTTTGATGAGATGGACGCCATAATGTGTAGTCTGCCGCGGAACCCTACCACCCAAACGGTGAATATTTACACTCATTTCTTAAGCCTCTAAAAATATTTTGTTGTTTCTGACTTCAGATGTTGTTATTCTCTCAGAACTAAACATTTCCACATCTACCAGAGATACAGCTATAATGATGGTATTTTTATGTTTCGTTGTGTAAAAGAGTGTTTTCCAAATGAATGCATGCTGTTTATCATTGCCGTCATCATTGGTGATAAGGCCTAGGGCAGGGGTTGGGCAATGACACTGTCCAGGGTCTCCTCTGCAATACAAGTGTCAAAGCTAGCATCAGTAGCTGTGCAAGCTAGGTGTATTTGATGAGAACAAGATTTTATTAACCATGTAGGACTTTATAGGCATCAACAAAGTAGGACTTTAACCATTTTACACAGCACAATTGTGTTTTTCTTCTAGGTGTTGAAATGAGGTAGTTCTCCTCAGACATTCGTTTTAACACTAACCGTGTTTCCATCAAGGCTTCTTGATGCGCATTTAGAAGTGTCACATTAAAAATGTGATAAAAAGTCTGATGGAAACAGCAAAATTCGAAAAAAAAATCCTCAATTCACTAAAAAGTTTTTACGCTCGCTTGAGGTGGTTTTTGGATGATTCGCAAAGTAGTTAATGAGCAAAACGGGAGATGGAAACATGTTTGCTGAATTTAATTCTGACGTAGTGCATATTTACCTCACGTGACGTTCTGCTGTTTCCGCTTTCCTGCCTCGTCCCGGATGTGATCATAAATGTGCGAAAACATTGCGTTTATTTCCCTACGTCTCCTGGCAGCGTTAAACTTAGCCTGTACTAGCTGAATAGACAGAATAATTACAATTTGCCCAATAGCAAGGCATTCACGAAAAAATTGCTCCATTGCCCCGAGATGATTAGCCTCCGCTAGTTAGCAAGTTTCTCATCCTATTTACTACCGCAAAGCTTGTCGCTGACGTCTGACGTAATCACACGTTGCGTAGCCTCGTCTGATGTAATCACATGTTGCGTAGCCTCGTCTGACGTAATCACACGTTGCATAGCCTTATCTGATGTAATCACACGTTGCGTAGCCTCGTCTGACGTAATCACACGTTGCCTAGCCTCGTCTGACGTAATCACACGTTGCGTAGCCTCGTCTGACGTAATCACGTGTTGCGTAGCCTCGTCTGATGTAATCACGTGTTGCGTAGCCTCGTCTGATGTAATCACGTGT